TCAAGACGGTAATATTATTCCCTTTGTAATCATAAAAAGTTATAGATCATCATCATCATGTACACTCTTGTGCAGTCCATCCTAAGACAAGCCAACTTCAAGGGTGCTAAGTTGTTAGGTGCTAGCTTCTTTGATGCAGACCTAACAGGTTTTGTTCTCTTTCCTTTTGTTGAAAGTAACATAAAAATAAAAACTGTAATACAGAAGACCTCTGATTCATAATCATATCCAGGTGCTGATTTATCAGAAACTGATCTCCGAGGTGCAGATTTCTCCTTGGCTAACGTTACAAAGGTTGTGTCCATGTATGTGTTTAAAGCTAGCAAAGCAAAAAAAAAGATATGTGATCTTAATGGTGAATTAATAAAACATTTTTGCAGGTGAATTTAACAAACGCTAACTTGGAAGGAGCAACTGCTACTGGAAACACATCATTCAAGGGTTCAAACATTACAGGCGCAGGTTAAAAAAAAAAAGATTTCATTATAACAACAACAAGAACCCTCTCTTTATTATATTTGAGCTTTATACAATTTTTTGTTTTGAATGTGGATTTTAGATTTCACTGATGTTCCTCTAAGAGATGATCAACGAGAATACCTTTGCCGAATCGCTGATGGGTAAAATCTCTTCTACTCTCATCTCTTAGAATCAAAATATTATTCTTTATCTTAATGTGATGTAATTTGAGTGTTTGCATTTTTGTATTTTCTACTCACAAGGGTTAATGCGACTACTGGGAATGCCACGAGGGACACATTGCTTTGCAACTAAACTTTGTATCGTTGGGAGTCTTCTTTTTCTGAGTTTTTCTAAGAGCTTTTTTGTTAATGATATTGTTGCAGAGTGAGTGTGTATATAAATATACTTACTGTTCTCAAATCCGTTTGACATTCAGAGATTGTGTATGTTACAGAGCATTATAAACAAAAAAAAAAAAACATGATGGTTAAACAAAATAATTTGCCACATTTTTTGTGTGGGAACTTGTAAATTCCATGATTGTCGACTAACTAAATTTCCGTAAGAGTAATGTATAAAATTTCTCGGGGCTTAGTGTGTGCCCCCATCAGTTGGTTTGATTTCTTTTGGACATTAAATTATCATTATTTAGCTGATCTGGATTTGGTTTTTGGCCCAATTGATTTACATGGTGGATCGTTACAGATAATCGATTCATCTCCTGGCATTAATGTGATGATATTCTAAATTCGGATCAGGCGGTGTGATAGTCAGTCTACTCTGTAGTACTAAGTACGTTTTTCTCGGGACCGACTAGATCAGCCGATAGGGTTTATAAAAAAAAAAAAAAAGTAATGTATAAAATTCTTAATGTGTGTATAGTAAAATGAAAAGATGCGACTTGTTTATTTTTCTATAACCAATTTACAGTTGTCTTTTCGTCTAATATTGGCAAATTTTTTTAAATACTTTATGAATAACTCGAAGTTATCTGTTTATTACTTGTTTACAGTTGTGTCTTTTCGTTCAACCAACTTACGGTTGTTTCTGTTTTACGAATATTTGTTTCTACATACGTTTAACATAAAATTATCTGTTTAAAAAATAAAAAATTCTAATAAATTCAAGAAAATACACAAAAGAAAAGCTGGCGAAATATTTTAATTTTTTTTATAAATTACTTTTTAAATTACACAACAAAAAACATAAGATCGAAGTATTATTGTATGGGTATTTTTAAAAGTAGCTGACTGTTTGGCTAAGAAGTCTTTTATGTATACTAGTTTTTTCTTTTGAACTGATTTTATGTATACTAGTTTTCAGATGTTTAATGTTCCTGTATTGCTGCAACACTTATTGTACTTCTCTTTTACAATCTGATAAATTTAGTTGACGAAAAAAAAACTAAAATGATTTTTAGAAAACAGTTTACCAAAAAAATGATTTTAGAAAACCTTATAACAAAAAAAAGAAAAAAAAAAGAATTGTGTTTTCTTACAAAATCTACCTAGTGCGTACGTGAACTGAATGTTAGTCAAAGTTTCTATAAACCTCATACAGTGTTTGATAATATGCATTAATGTTTAGATATTATTCCATAACAACCCCAACCGTTGTATCCCTACATACCTCGGCCCTTCATTATTTATACATACACAAAACACATATCAAACATTTGTGCTCATCTCTTGTTTCTATAAACCTCATACAGTGTTTGATAATATGCATTAATGTTTAGATATTATTCCATAACAACCCCAACCGTTGTATCCCTACATACCTCGGCCCTTCATTATTTATACATACACAAAACACATATCAAACATTTGTGCTCATCTCTTGTTTTGTCAAAAAGAAGTGAGAAGAAGAAAAGAAAGAGAGAAACCATGTCGAAGTTGAATGCTAATGCCCCTTCTTTTCATCCGGTGTACACCGACGAACATGCCCTTTTTCTTACATTCTCCAATGGCTTCCCTCTGTCGGAAATGCAAATCTTCAACTTCTTTAACAGGCAAGTAACCTTATTTCCTAACTATCTATTCTTACAGTCGTTTTTGTTTTGTGCAATGCATTGGCATCAAACCATACCCTGTACATCAGAATTCCAGTTTCATCGTTACATAGAATGTTAGTTTTGTGCAAGTTAATGTCATAACCTATGAACTAACTCATACACACTCTTCTATGTTATATGACAGTCTTTAAATGGGTACTAATTCTGGTTAGTTTGTATAGATGTTATATCTCGTAGACATATACTTGCATGTTACATCCTCATCGCATTTCTCAAGATAAAACGCATGGAAAGGTGTCTTGCTTGTTACATTTGGTGATTCACCATACGGTTTTGCTGATATAATTTTTGAGATAACCAATTGGTTCTATATATATATGTTGATGATGATATTAATGTTTAAGTTGATGATTATTATCAGTCATTATCCATCGTCTGTTGAACGAGTGAATGTGCACACGCCTATGGGAGGAAGAGGGCCATCTTTATTTGGAAAAATTGTTTTTAAAGATCTACGCATTCCAGCCTTACTGATGGGCGACAATGAAAGAATATCTTTCCTAGTGGAGGGGCACCATCTCTACTGCAAAAGGTTCGTTAGCCAGCCTAGCCAGCCGACTAATCCCGCAGCCTCTGCGAGTAACATCAACTCTGAATCTTCTGATGGTGGAACCCACTCCAGGGGTGAAGAGTGATCATCATAAGCATTTATGAAATTAAAACTCTTTGGATTGTTTTATCAGTCGAAGGGGTTTTAACTGGACCTATCAAGAATCAGTTTGTTGTTTTTCAGTTTAATTAATAAGGGCGTAAACGTATGACTATGTGAGAACGCTTGTCGGAGATGTCTGTCTTTCTGTTCAGATATTATTTGAAATGCTTTTTTTTTGGTTTTTTTTGGCTTTTTATTTATTTTATTTTTACAATTTTGAGGAAAATTGTGACATGATAAATATATAATCAACCTAGATTTAACGAGTCATTAAATTTGTAAGAAATGAACAACGTTACAATTTTTATTGATTGTAAAATATAACAAATGAAACCAGTCACTTTTGTTTTTCAATAGTAATATATATATTGAAAAAAGGATTTTTAATTACTAAATCATATTTAACAGGTAGGTAACATTCCTCTATACGTTTAAATTTTTCTAATAATTATCACTTAGTGAAGCAAAGTGTTAAGAAGTGACAGCCCTCATCAACAATCTCTAATAGTGACAGCCCTCATCGTGACAGATATATCGTAATAGTGACAGCCCTCATCAACAATCTCTAGAGACAACCTGTTCACCATTTCTTCAATTGGTCCTCTACGTCCCGACCAGTTCTTTATAATCCCTGTAACATGTAACAATATACTTACTATTAATCTCACGATCTAATCATTAAAAAAAAGTGGTAACCCTAAAATGACATGTAATATTTTGTTCGACCTTTATTTTATCAAATAAATAAGAGATAAAGTGGTAACCCTAAAATTAACCGACAACTAGAATGCGCAGCCGTATGTAAATGCCTTTACAATGCTTATTAGTAATGAGATCAGAAAAGATTGAAAAAAGTATACCTTTGTTGACGAGCAAGTCAACGTCACTCCACTACAAGAAAAGAGTGTGAACTCCGAGGATAGTTTCCGAGGACATGAGTCATCGGTAAACTTGCTTTGCCGTTCCGAGGAACTACCGAGAAACTACCACCTTTGTCGGAAATTTCTCGGAAAATTCCGATGAACTAGATTTGTCGGAACATTAACGGAAAAACTTGTCGGAATCTTGTCAGAACACAAATCTATTTC